CCTGCCTGTCTCTCGCTCGCCCGGCTCTGGCCCGCCACGCTTCGGCGCGGCGCGCTGCCCACCCCGCGCTCCCCGGGCGTCCACGCGCCGAGCCCGTCCCCGCCCACGCTCCACGGAGCGCCACGCCGTCCGCTCGCACGGCACACGGCGCGTCGCCGGGGCGGCCGCCCCGCGGCACGCGGAGAGTGCAAGACGTACACCTCCCGGCCAGCTTCGCGCGCGCGCGTGGCGCGGCGCAAACCCCCGGATCTCGCCGCCCGGCGTGCGGGTCGGGGGCGTCCAAGAGGGGGGTGATGACCAGGGGGGGGGGGTCTCACGGCGGGGGCCAGGACGTCTCCCCAGAAGTCGTGGCGCCTCTCCTGCCTTCTGCACGGTCCCGGGCTCCCCCTGGTCCGCGCACGTGCCTCGGGCCAGGATGGGCACACACCCCTCTTGGACGCCCCCCTCTTGGCCGCCCGACGTGCTGGCGGGGAGAGCCGCGGCGGTGTGATGATCGACCGCGGGCCCGCTCTCTCGTGCGCGCCTTTGAGAGCAGCGGCCCGCACAGCAGCGGCCCGCACAGGAGCGGGGCTCGAGAGCCGGGGGTCGATGCAAACGGGGATCGGCCAGAGCGCCGGATCCTGCAGGATCCTGCAATTCTAGGGTCGCATTGGCCCGGGTTTGGGCGCAGGATCCTGCAGGATCTTGCAGGGCCGGGGTCGCGTTGGCCCAGGCTTGGGTGCAGGATCCTGCAGGATTCTGCAGGATCCTGCAGGGCCTGACTGACACGGGTTTGGATTGACCCGGGCCAGCAAATCCCCGACGGGAGCATCGAGAGCAGGCAGGTCTGGGCCGCCAGGCCCCAGGCTGCTGCAGGCGCCATCCCTCGCGGGCGGAGGTTTTTTTCCCCCGCCCCCGAGGTTTCGACGAGAAACGAGGCCGCTCAGAAAAGGAGGGGGGCCCTGGGATGCACCCCCCGGAGGCTCTCCGGACGCATCCCCCCATATCTAGGATGGGCGCCCCCCCATCGTATATCCCAAGGTTAAGCCCGAGAGATTTGGTTCGCTCGAAACACCCACGAAGCCTGGGAGAGGGGTCGACACATGTTCTGTTATTATGATTCCTGTCATCGAATGGTTTTCCCCTCTCCCTCCTCTTCCGGGGGCGGCGGGGATCAAACCTACTTGCAACGCCTATACCCGTTTCATCCGCCTAAAGTGGGGGCCCATACCAAGAAACACCCTGCTTGCCTCCAGGGTGCCCTAGGTCTCTTGGGTTTCGATGGTTTTGCCGTGGGAAGCGTGACGTTCCCACAACAAACATCGATGAACGTCCTGGGGTCTCAGGGTTGGGCTTCATGTGGAAGGTTTCTTCTGGTCAGGCCCCTACTGTATCGACTTCCTCCGAACGATGGCCAGACTCTCAAAGTCCGCGCGGAGTTCTTAGATCGGCTGTGGACCCCCTGGACGCCGCCTCCGGCGCCGCCCCTGGCGCGCCCCGCGCGCCGGGGAGGTGTGGTCCCTCGCGGCTCCAAGACCTCCGCGCGGGCCGTCGAAAGAGGAGGAGGAGGAGGATGAGGAGGGGGAGGAGGAGGAGGAGGAGGAGGAGGAGGAGGAGGAGAGGAGGAGAAGAGGAGCAGGAGGAGAAGAGGAGGAGGAGGAGGAAGAAGACGGAGGAGAAATGCTGCATGTGTCTTCTGTCTGCAGTCCTGCATCTCCCCCCCGCGATCCGAGGGGTCAGCGCGGGGGGGGGGGGCAGGCGCCGATCCCCGGCGCAGGCTGGGCCCGGCCAGGCCCCGTGCTCGCGCACGTCCCGCGTCGCCCCGATGCCTCGCCCCTCCGCTCTGCTCTGCTCTGCCGCGCGCGCGCTGCGTCGCCGCCCTGGCGCCATCGCGGGCCTGGCCCCCGCCGGCCTCGTGAAGGCGGGCACGTCCCTGGGAAGGGGGAAGGTTCGAAACCTGCGTTACGAAAGAGCCAGGGGCGATGTTTGTGATGATTGTTCTGGGCGAATGCTTGGGGTATGTTCTGCCTGCTTCTGTAGCTTTTCTTCCAACATCGGCCTGCGACAAAGTGCCGCAGCGTCAAACGGACCACACGGGAGCCAGCAGCATGCGCCGTGGAAGCGGCACAGCCTCAAACGGACGGCACGGGAATCAGCACCCTATGGGCATCCTCTTCGTTGCTTCTCTCCTCCTCGCAAGTCGCGCCCACTTGTCCTCAGCACCCTATGGGCATCCTCTTCGTTGTGTTTCTCGTCCTCGCACGTCGCGCCCACTTGCCCTCCGAAAGGCCGGGGTTCGTGGCCGCAGCCGGCTCTTCTTCCAACATCGGCCTGCGGGAGGACCTGCCCGACCCATAAGCCTGCCCCCCTTTGCACGCCTCCGCCCCCGCCGCAGGCCCGATGAGAGCCCGGCCTCCCCGGGCAGCGCCGCGAGGCCTGCCGGCGGCCGCTCCTGAAGGCGTAAGGGGCGCGCCCGGGCAGGGGGCCGCCTCTCCCTCGCCTGCTGCCTGGACCTCCAGACCCAGGTCCCCTCGAGTCATGGGAAAAAGCACGACCCGAGGCTTCTCCCTTCAGTCAAGACGCGGAAGTAAGGAGCAGTTTGGGTTCGAAAGGGGCTCGATGTTCCTTAGATTCCTCCAGTACTGCTCCTCTTGCCCTCCTGGGGCACGGAGGCGCTTACAGGGCCAAGAAGGGGCTTCGTTCCTTCTGTAGCGTTCCTTCTGTCAGCGGCCCGACTGTATCTCGGGACCGTGAACAAAACGGCCCGCAGGATAAAAGACCGGTCCGGAGGAATCGGTCTAATTAGCATGGCGTCGGGGGTCTGGGGACGCGCCCCGAGAGAAGCATGGCGGGCGTTCCCGAGCGGGCCCCGCCCTCCACGGGGGGCCGTCTCCTGGCCCCCCAGGGGGCGACGACGAGCCGAAGCGGCCCGGGAGGGCCCAAGACGGCCCCGCGGACGAGAGGTCGAGGGCGAGAGGTCGGTGGCTTCGCGTGGACGAGGGCGGGGTGCCGCGAGCACGCAAGCGCCTGGCATCGCTCGGACGTGTGCATGTTTTTCCCGGCGAGGACCATCGAGGACCATAGCACAAAAAGAACGCGCACGAAACCGAAAGGTGTACGGGAAATGGACGTCCGAGCGATGGCGAGAGCGGTGGTGTGGTCTCTAGGCCTCCTGGCTGGGGTCCGAGCAGGTGGGCCGGAGGATCGCGCCGCATCGCCGATGCATCGACGATGCGGCTCGATGTGGAGCCCGTGTTTCCCCAAGCCGACGTCGCCGATGCGTCGGCGATGCGTTGGCGCGCTGCGGCGCGACCGTTCGACCACATCTATTCGGACCTCATCCGGGAGGCCTCTATAGTCAAGATACAGCCAGACAGGAGGGCAGACTCCTGCGAGAAGACGCAGTGGTTTTTACCAGTTGGTAGCGGTGCTGAGCGGTCCATGCTCCCATGTGCGCCACAGCTCACTTGGCGCAATGCTGCAGACAGCGGTGCTACTGTCGGTCCAAGAACCCCGGCGGCCTTACAAGTATTGCGAAGGCCTTACGGCCGGTGCCGCCGACCCTGGAGGACGTGCAGTACTTGCGGGGGGGGCGTCGTATCTGAGTGGCGCCCCCCCCCCGGGACCCCCCCCGGGGACCCCCCCGCTACCCCCCCCCCCTCCCGGCGGGGGAGGGATCAAAGGGAAGGGGCTTCCCTTCGACTCAAATACGACGTTGCTGAAGTTCATTTGGGCTGGCGCGCTTGAGCAGGGGCCCCTGCTGGGAAAGAGGACGGGAGTGGCGACGGGCCCACGGAAAGGGAGGCGCAAGGAAGGGGGACGACAGAGACGACGACCAACGAACAACGGGGATGACGTCTCGAACGGAAAAGCCCCTCACACACGCCGACAGGGTCGGCGGATTTGCATTGTCGAACCATCGTCGCCGAAATGAGAGGCGACTGGTCCGACGGAAAGGGGAAGGGTCAAGACAGCGCGGGAGCTGGACGTAGCGTGAAGAGGAGGAGGTCGGCATCGTTGGTGTTTTGGTGGTTCATGGCGCAGTCTGTGCAGCCCCACAGCGGCGAGGCAGGCAGAATCCAGGGCCATGGGCGATAGTGTGAGTGCTAGCCACGAAGAGGAAGAGTCCACAGCGTGCTTTTGGTATGGATGGTGGATCACGCGGGAAAGATACGCTCTCGCAGCGAGCCCTGCGTTGGTGCCATGATGAATAAGTGGAATTGACAGCAAGGGATTCTGGATCGGTTTTCCCTGGCTGCGCCCCAAGGATTTATCTCCACCCTCCTAGCCACCTTCGCAAAAAACCTAGCCAGCCTCGTAAATACAACGGTTGCTGGCTGAATTGTGGACCCTCGCGCATGAGAAGCAGTAGAAGCGATCTGGAAAAATGGGGAGTTAGAGAGAGATATATACATATCAAAAAAGTAAGAACAGCAAACAGACATCAATGTGTGTACGTTCATGTATACGTATATACATGTAGAACTAAGAAGAATAATAATACTAAGGAGAAGAAGAAGAAGAACAACATTCGGCGAGAGAGAGAGGGGGAGAGAGAGGGAGGGAGGGAGGAGGGAGTGATGGACGGAGGGAGAGAGACAGAGAGAGAGATGCTGCATGTCGGCAGGAATGTGCCCCATGCCACTGGCAGCAAAAGCCGGCGTGGCTGGTGACGGTCGTCGAATGGGGCGTTGTCGAAGTCCAGGACGATTTCGCGCGCCACTTCGAAGCCGAGCCGCCGCCGGTAAAGCGAGCGGGCCGGGCGAGATGGGTCCAGGGCGCAGGTCGCGAGAGGCGCGCCAGGCGATGCTATTCGGGGTGTTCCAAACAGGGCCATGCCTTCAGGGACCGAAGGAGTTGTCAGCTCTTCCGCGGCGGAAGGGCGGCGGAAGTAAAACGAGGCCGCCTCCGCGCGGCGGAAGCCGGCGGAAGGGCGGCGGAAGCCGGCGGAAGTGAAAGATGTGCCCCCAAGAGCTGAAAACAAGTTTGGGTTCAGGTTCCTGACATCGCCGGTATTTCTCAGCCACAGATCTCTCAGCCGTAGATCTGTCAGTGTCTGATCAGTCTGCTACAGTACCCCAGACTTCGACCCGCACCGCCGCAGCAATGGCACCCCGGCCGCAGCTGGCGTGCGCCGCTCTGCTCCTGGCGGCCGCCCACGCCGCCGGCTCAGAGCCGCTGCCAGCGGGCGCGCGGCGGGACTTCGATCGCCACCTCGCCAGGGAGCTGGGCGGCCTGCCGGGCTGGGCTGTCCCGGTTGATCTTGGGACCCAGACCCCCTCGAGTGATGAAGCAATTACTCAAGCGTCCTGGCTCGCCTATAGCCCTACCAAACAAAGTTCTAAGAACCTTATGTGGTTGCCACGAAATGCTCTTAGAACATTTCTGGCGGAGTCTGGCTTGTTTTATCACATCGGGTTTATGTTATAAGAACCTTGTTTTTGTTCTTAGAAAGTTTGGGGGTTGTAAGAACATTTCGTGGTAGGACTATAGGAATGTCGGAACGGTCGGTCCCTGCTCAAATCTTGGGACCCATACCCGCTCGAGTGACGAAGCAATCACGGCGGGGCGTTTTTTTCACTATTTTCGGCCTCCGTGGGCCTTTACCGGGCCCCGGGACCGTGAGGAAGCGGTTCCGGATGAAAAAACGCGATCCGGGGGGATGGGTCGAAGCCTTTGGGGGTCGACGTCATGACAAAGTCATGACGTGACGTCGGGGGTCTGGGCACCGCGCCCCTTGACCATCACGGATGTGTTCTGCACAAGCGGCGAGCAGATCCGTGTCTGGGCTCCCGCGGTCTGGATTCCGGGGCACGATCTCGCAGATACGCGGTCGCACGAGATGCGTTGTGCGCGGGGCATCCGCGGGAAGGCGCCCCAGATCCGCGGGGTCGCGGCCCGGGGGTTCTGCCCGCGAGGCCGCGGATACGGATATATATATATATATATATATATATATATATATATATATATGCTCTCGCGCACGAGTTGTACCTCATAGATCACCCTTCGGGTGAGAGGGAGGTCGTGGGGGAGCTGGGTGCAGCCTTCGGTTTGCGATTCGGCGGCGGGCAGAGTCACATCGCACCTTTGCAAGCTTCATGTGTTCACCCTCCACCTGTCCTGCAGGTGCGTGACAACGTCGCCACGCCAAGCACCATTAGCCGTTCAGATATACACGCTAGAACAACTTGTCTTGCGGCACCAGCATGGATCCCACGGCAGTGTCCCAGTCACGGGTGACGAAGGACGTTTGGTTTCCAGAAGAAAGGCCAAAGACACCCTCCCATGATGCCAATGTGTATAGCGTATCATGTCTTCAGTGATCGATTTGCCCGCGAGTCGATGATCGGATAAATGCCCGCGGCAATGATAAGGTAGACGCCGTACATTTGATGGTACGCGAGGTGGCAGAGCCCGAGGACGACTGCCACACCGCCGTCGCGGGCGATGCGTGCCACAAGGAGGTGACAAGCAAAGAGCAACGAACCTAAAGCACGATCTAACCGAATCGCGTGAGCAGTTCATTGGGGATGCAGTTAGATCGTGTCGCTCAATCGCGCTGCTTCAACACATTACAAGCTTCGCATTGCCGCCGCATTCGCACGTCGCATGAACTTAGCATGTATTGAGGCGCACCTCTGGAATTCGCATGTCGCGTGACCGAGTGCGCGGGAACGGCGTGCAATCGCCAATTGTTTGATTTCCCAGCCTGCGAACATTTGTCTTGCACGCGAGCCGCTCGAGCACTTTGCATACATCGCATTGTGGGTCAGGCGTTAATGGCACCACTGTGAGCCGTTCCCTATTCGGCAATGAATACAGGCGCTGGACGGAATATAGGTCGGTTTCAACCATTCTGGGGTTCCGTGGTCGGCGTTTGGAGGAACGAGCCGATGTCGGCCATATCTGGAGCTCTGGAGGGGCTATAAAATCCATCGCGTTCACGGCGCCCGCCCCCCCCCCCCCGAACGCTGCAGGCCTCAAAAATGTGTTGCCGCGCGCGCATGCATTCACATGCCCCGTGGGGCAGGGAACCGTGCTTCTGTGCTGCACGGAAGGTGGACGCCGATGGCGCGGTTGGCGGCCTCGAGCGAGAGTTGGGTGCGCGCGGGGCCGTGCGCATTTCGGGCGCTCGGCCTTTTCTGCGGCCACGCAGCTCGGCGTCAGCGTGTGTGTGTGTCCAGTGCGTGTCCCCTTGGATGCTCCGCATGCGCATCCCGCCACGTGTGTGTCCCCAATTTCTTGACGGGCTTGGGAGTGGTCCAAGCTGTTTCGGCAGCCTGCGCCGCGAACATGGAGGCCACCTGCTGACAGACGCGGCAGCACTCGAAATCACGGCATCGTCTCAGGGGCGCACTTGCGAGTTTCTTCCGAAAGGGGCACTTGTACACCCCCACCGTGTTTGGCATAGGCTAGGGTGGCCCTGTCTACGCGCGGTGGTGATGTACAGGTTTTACCCGCGTAGTTCGCATGCCCGCATGAGAGTTTTCAGCTGGACCAGCGACTGTAGGGTGCATGCAATGTTGGAGGTGGCTGGAAGATGAGTGGCTGCATTCATTGAAGGTCTCAGGTAGCAGGGGGTTGCAGATTGGGACGAACATCGTCTGAGGCTGGGCCTGCAGGCTTGCTCTTCTTCTTCTTCTTCTTCGCCGCCCATTCCTGAGACAGAGAATGTCAGCTCCCTTTCCCGCAAACCCCATTCACGCAGCACCTTCGAGGTAATCTGGGCCATGACGAAAGGCATCACGCAGCACAGATGGTGGTATCCTGGACTGCACAAGAACTCGTCCACGTTTGAGGACTTCCAGGAATTTCTGCACAAGCTGGATGCGTTCTCCGCCGTGTGCGCCAAGCCTTGCAGGATTGTGCAGCAGACGAAAGGGTGCCACGCAGAACCAAAGAGCGAAGCGGGCGACGGCGAACGGTTTTGTTGCAGTTCGCATGAGGACAGCAGCACTACCAGGTGATATGAGTAATGTGTGGCCCCACCGTTCTACGTAGATGTGGAAAGGGGCCGCTTGTGAGCGATAGCATGATGTCAGCACGTAAAATCCATCAGCGCCCGAGGTGCCACACGGCAGTCAAGGACGAGGTCTGCCACAACGAGGCGGCTGCGCGCCGGGCGGGAAGCTCCCTTCGAGCGAGTTTGGAGCAGAGCGGTCGGACTCGAATGGACCCACCTCCCCAACACTAGTTTCTGCCTGAGGTTTCTCTCCTGGAGCTCGGAGCGCGCACGGACGCGAGCACATTGGATCCTGCCTGAATCCTCAGGCCTTCTCCTCCCCCGTTCCTCTCCCTCTCGCTCTCTCCGAGCTCGGCTCCACGAGGGATGCCAGGGGCGTGCTCTTCCTGACCTTTGAGCCCCTGCGTCGGAGTGCTGCCACGGGTCCGACCTGCGCAGCAGCCTGGCAGCGTCGCACTGCGAAGGCCCCATCCCTCCGGGCACGGGGGGTCCTCACGCGCTCGTCTTCCCAGGGTGGTGGCGTGGCTACCCCTGCGGAGCGATGGGAGCGAATAGGAAGTAAGAACGCCGGGGACAAGTTTCACAGGTCTTGAGAACCCTCCCCCCCCAATAATTAGTGGGCACGAATCTTATTTTCGACGTCCTGATTGACAGACTAGGGCCCCACTAATGATTTGAAATGAGTGTTTCTCCGCAGCACCCGCCGCACAACAATCAAGACAACGACGACTACGATCACGATTTCGACTACGTCCGCGATCCTCAGATGATCACGATCACGATTACGATTGCATCCACGACTACGACTACGATTACAATCACGACTACACTCACGAGTCCAATCACAATTACAACACACGACTACGGTCACGACTACAACCACAGCCACTGATTCCTTGTGCACTCCCCCATGTACAGATGCTCACAATTCCTCTCGCGTGCAGGGTTAACCCACGATGGATTATGCCCTGGAGGCAGGAATCCCCCCAGCATGATCCAGCCCGCCCAACAAAAGAGGGAAAGTAATCCCCGCCGCGACGACGACGACGACGACGACGAGGACAACGACGACGACGACGACGAAGACGACGACGACGATTACGACTACGATTTTGACAACAATCGCGATTACGTTCACGACTACACTCACGACTACAGTCATGATGAGAATCACGATTACAACCACGACTACAGTCACGACAACAATCACAGCCACTGCTTCCCAGTGAACTCCTCATGAGGAAACGCTCACGAATCCTCTCGTGTGCAGGGTAGCCCACATTGGGTTGTTCCCTGGGAGGACGCCCCAACATGATCCAACCCGCCCAACAAGAGAGGGAAAATACTCTCCGCCGCGACGACGACGACGAGAACGACAACGAGAAGCAGCAGGGGGACGAGGAGGAGGAGGAGGAGCAGGAGGAGGAGGAGGAGGAGGAGGAGGAGGAGGAAGGGGGAGGAGCAGGAGGAGGAGGAGGAGAAGGAGGAGGAGAAGGAGTAGGAGGAGTAGGAGGAGGAGGAGGAGGGGCAGGAGGAGGAGGAGGAGGAGGGGCGAGTTTGTTTCCCGCCGAGAGAAGCGGGAGGGGGCGGGGTGCAGAAGCAAAGCCCTCCGAGGGTTCCGAGGCACGGGTGAGCAGCCCTCAGCGGTCGCCTCAGCCGCCTCCCCGGGCCGACCGGTCCCCGCTCCGTGCCTCGGCGCGCCCGCACCCCCAACGGCGGGACGCGCGGCAGGGGCCTGGCGAGCCTGCGCGGCGAGCGGGCGCAGCTCGGCGGCGGGCGTGCGCCCGCGACGGCCCGCGCCGCCGCCTCACTGCGTCCTCCTCGCTGCCGGCGCCGGCGGCGGCGTGGCGGAGGGCGTCCGATGCGGTCTCTGGGGCTGAGGGGGCCCGGGGCTCCCGAGGCCCGTCCGCGCGGGCCGCGCCCACGGCGCTCCGCGCGCGCGGGGGGTGCAGGCGGAGGTCATATCCCCTGCCCGAGGTGTGCCCTGCGGCAGGGCCGCGGCTGCGGCTTCCCGTCGTCCAACAGCCCGCGCAGCGCGGCCCTGTCTCGCCTCCTCGCTTCTCTCCCCGCGCGCCCTGCCTGCGCCTCCTCTCTGCCCACTTCTCGTCCGTGCTCCCTCTGCGCCTCCCTCGCCCCCCGCATGCCTTCTGGCCGAGGCCGCAAGCCGCCCTTTGCCCCGCCACCTGTCTGTCCGTTCCATTCCCCTCCGTTTCGCTCCGTTTCCTCGTCTTATCCTGTTTCCCCCCATGCCCCCCATGCGTTTGATCCCGCGCGCGCTTCTCCCGCTGCATCCACTCCTTCGTGACTCCCCCGTTGACTCCCCCGTCGGGCCTTCCGCCCATCCCTTCCAAGCTCCATGTTCCTCGCATCTCCCGTTGTGCCCTCTGCGTCTGCACCCGTTCACCCGCGACGTCCACGAAGTCGCTCCCCAAAGGTGACTTGGGCCATGAAGACGGGCATCCACGAGAACCCCTCGTGGTACCCTGGGCTGACCCCAAGCTCCAGCTTCGAGGAGTTCCAGACGTTCCCGCCTCGGCCCGATCACAGCGCGACGCGGGGAAGCCGATCGCCTAAGATGACGCTGTGAAGTGTTTGAACATCCCCATGCAAGTGCCATACGAGGGAGCTGTCTTTTCATCTCAACGAGTGCTGTCTCGTCGCGGTTCGTCTCATGCAGCCTCCGTTCCCTCACAGCTACTATTCTCTCCTCTTGTCCCATCTCCTTTCACATCTCCCATCTTTTCTCCTCGCCGCCCGTCTCGTTGTTTCTGTGTGTCTCTCTCTCTCTCTCTCTCTATCTTTCATTCTCTCCCATGTTATCGGAATCTTGGGGGATGAGATCGAAGTAAAGCGGAGAGCCCCCCACCGCAAAAGTCGTGCGAGGGGGACAAAGGACCGCCCCTCCGGTGAGCCGGCGTGGTCGAGGGTGTCCCGCCGTGGTGTCCCGAGGTGGTATCCTGTCGGTGTCCCGTCGGTGTCCGCGGGAGGTGGCTCGTGGTGTCCCGCCGTGGTGTCCCGCCGTAGTGACCCGTCGGTGTCCTGTCCCTGTCCCGTCGGTGTCTTGTCGGTGTCCCGTCGCTGTCCCGTCGCTGTCACGTCGTTGTCCCGTCGAATCCCCGTCGGTGTCGCGTCGGTGTCCCGTCGCCGTCCCGTCGCTGTCCCGTCGCTGTCCCGTCGTTGTCCCGTCGGTGTCCCGTCGGTGTCCTGTCGGTGTCCCGTCGGTGCCTTGTCGGTGTCCCGCCGTCGTTGTCCCGTCGGTGTCCTGTCGGTGTCCCGTCGGTGTCCCGTTGGTGCCTCGTCGGTGTTCCGTCGATGTCCCGCCGTGGTGTCCCGTCGGTGTTTGGTCGGTGTCATTGCCATCGCGCGTTTGTCGTCAGCGTCGTCGTCTGGCATCGTCGCCGACTCGTGAGCGCATCGCCAGCATCGCCACCAGCACAATCATCGCAGTTGTCCTCAGTTGGTTCCTTCCCCCCCTTAACCTTCCCATCGCAGCAACCTCTGCCCAGCCGCCGACGTGAAATTGTGTATCGGAGGCGACGGGGGTGAGTTCGCCGTGACGCGGAGAGCCCTCCACGGGGAGACCGAAGTGGGTTTCGTGTTCGTGTCGTGCGTGCGGCCGGGGCGAAGCTGCGCGGGGCCGGGCGAGAGTTAAGCAGCCCCTGCAGGGCGCCTCCGGGCCGGCGGGCTGCCCCCCCCCCCCCCAGGCCCCTCCCCGAGCCGGGCGGCAGTGGCCGGGGGTGTCCCGCCGTGGTGTCCCGCCGAGGTGTCCCGTGGTGTGCCGTCGGTGTCCCGTCGGTGTGCCGTCGGCGTTCCGCCGGTGTCCCGTAGCGAGATCGATAGTGAGATCGACCACGGGACCGATCTATCGTGGGACGGATTCCGAGATCGATGGTGAGATCGGTGGGGAGGCCGATCGTGAGGCCGACAGTGAGCTCGATCGTGAGATCGATAGTGAGATCGATAGTGCGGTTGATGATAGTGCAATCGACAGGGGGATCGATTGAGTGAGAGTTGTTTCCTCCGCCCTAAGTCTCCTTATCACCCGAAAGGTGGTCGTATAGGTACTGAACTACACGAGCACCCTGCGGGTGATTAGGAAGTTGTGGTGGGGGAGACATCTGATGACAACAGCGATGATTGTGATGATGACGATGCTGGTGATGTGCTCACGAGTTGGCGAAGATGCATGATGGCGGTGCTGGTGAGACCATTGGGGCAGCATCGGGACACCATCGCGACCCCACCGAAACACCATCGAGAAACCATCGAGCTTCCACTATCGACGTCACTACTCGTCATTGGAGGGTAAGCTCGCATTGAAACGAAGAGCCACCCACCGGACCCACCGGGAGATCGGTTTTGGTTTCGTGCCGCGCGTGCGGGCGAGGCGAAGTTGTGTGGGCGGGCGAGAGGACTGATCCCGCCCTGGCTAGGGCGAAACAGGGCTCAATGTCTTCCCTCCCCCCGGTTGGCCAGCGTTGGCCCAGGGATGTCCCGCCAGTGTCCCGTGCTGCCTTGTAGTGTCCCGCGGTGGGGCGCGGGTGTCCCGTGGTGTCCCGTGCTACTCGCTATGAGACTCGTTATGCTACTCGCACTGCTGCTCGCTCTGCTACTCGCTTTGTTGCTCGCTCTGCTACTCTCTTCGCGTGTCGCTATACTACTCGCTTCGTTACTCGCTATGCTGTTCGCTATGCTACTCGCTATGCTACTCTCTATGAGATTCGTTATGGTACTCGCTAGGTGACTCGCTGTGATACTTGCTATGGTATTCGCTATGGTACTTGCTACAGTACACGCTATGCGACTCGCTATGCGACTTATGATGCTACTCGCTATGCGACCCGTTGTGCTACTCGCTGTGCGATTCGCTATTATATTCGCAGTGCTACTCGCTATGCCACTCGCTTGCTATGCCACTCGCTATGCCATGCTATGCTACGCCATGATCAGAAGCATCGCAGTTGGTTTCAGTAAGTTCCCCCTCACACACCACCCAAAACATCCTTACCATCCGAATTTGGGCACACAGGTCAGAGTGAGATGGCTGAGCGGTCATGCACCGTCCCTTGGTGCGCGGCTGAAGTGAGGTTCTGCGGTGCGGATTGTTGTTGTTGGTGGTAGTGTCGTGAATGTTGATGTCGTCGTCGTCGTTGGTGTTGTCGTTGGTTTTGTCATTGTTATTGTTGGTGGTGTTGATGGTACTGTCGCTATTTCTGTAGTTGATGTTGGTATCGTTGTTGCTGTTGTTGCTGTTGTTGGTGGTGTTGCTGTTGTTGATGTTGTTGATGTTGGTGGTGGTGGTAGTGTGTGTTGATGTTAGGGTTGTTGTTGTTGGAAAGTGTTGTTGTTGGTGTTGTCGGTGTTGCTGTTGTTGATGGTACTGTTTGTGTTGTTATTGGGGGTGTTGGTGTTATTGTTGTTATTGTTGCTGTTGTTGTTGTTGCTGCTGCTGTTGTGTTGTTAATGTTGTGTGTTTTCGTCGACCCCCCCCGCGACCCGCCCGCGACCCGCCCCACGACCTACCAGAGACCAACCCGCGGCCCACCCGCGACCCGCCCGCGACCCGCCCCACGACCTACCAGAGACCAACCCGCGGCCCACCCGCGACCCGCCCGCGACCCGCCCCACGACCTACCCGAGGTCCAACCGCGACCCACACCGCGATCCGCCCTCGACACACTCGCGACCCACCCGCCACCCTTCCGCGACCCACCCGCGACCCAGCCCGCGACCCATCCGCGACCCACCCACGACCCACCGGCGACCCACCCCGCAACCCACCCACATTGCTTTTAACGAAAGAATCGGCGCCTGCGGCGGGCTCACTACATGATTTGTAAAAGTTAGCCGCCCCCTCACTCTTATCGGCAAGTGCGGGGGGCTACGCAGATTCCTCTCCGCTTCGCGGCGCGCACGTCCAGAGCACGTTCAGACTCAGTGTTCGTGTCGTTCTCCCGGCCCCAGAGCGCTGCCAGCGTGGGGCGGGACGGATGCGCCGCCCCCCTCGTTTCAGCGCCAGGACGGGCGTGCGAATGTCTACGAGGGCACTGAGCATTCACCGCGCGTCAGCACAGGGCAACGCCAAGTGTTCAAATTGTTCGCGTCATCCGTGTACAAGTCCGCGGGCCTCTTGGTTGTTTCTTGGGGCCGTTTGGGGACTTGCTCAGGGCATCGTGGAGGCTTCTCGGGGAGCCACGGAAGCCTCTTGGGGGCCCCTGCGGGTCCTCCTGGGGCCTTTTGCTTGTGCCGTCCTCTTGCGCCGTCTGGCCCCTTCAGAGGCCGTCTTGGGGGCCTCTCGGGGCCGCCTCGCGGCTCTCTTGGGGTCCTCTTGGGCCGTCTTGGGGGCCTCTTGAGCCTTCTTTGGGCCTTTGTTGGCCATCTTGGGACCCTGTTGGGCCGTTTTGGGGCGGCCTCTGGGGCCGTCTCTGGGCCATCTTGGAGGCTGCTTGGGCCGTCATGGGCCCCCGAGAATAGAAAAGGGCGAAGACGCAAAACATGTTGCAAAACCCATCGGGGAATCTATGTCTGTGGCCTCTGAAGGTGCTCTTGGGAGCCTCCTAGTGGCCCTTGTCGTCTTGGGGCCGCTTTGGGCCTTCGGGAACCCAGACCCCCGACGTCATGATTTTTTCATGGCGTCGACCCCCGGAGGTCTCGACCCATTTTCCGGAACTGGATTTTCATCCCGAGTCGTTGTTTTCACGGTGCCGAGGCCCGGCGGAAGGGCCCCCAGAGGCCGAAAATAGCAGAAAAAATTGCCCGTCGTGATTTGTTCATGACTCGAGGGGGTCTGGAAGGTTGCCCTGCGCCGCCTGGAGACCCTCCGGGACCCCCAGCGCGAGTGGCCACGTCCAGGACGGCCTCCTCCCGCGCGCAATGTGCCGGGGTGCCGGCGATCCCGCGGGCAGGGGCGCGCTGCTCGGTCGCGGTGGCCAGTCTGGGCGCAGCGTGAAGTCGGGCACGCCCTTCAACGGGAGGAACGTTCAAAGATAGTTTGAAAAGATAGTCTGGAGACGTTTTTGTTGCTTCAACAAAAAATCAATGTGTGAGCATGTTTTAAACATGTTTCTTCTGTCGTCCAAAATCCGCCTGCAGGAGGTCATGCCCGACCTAAGCGCAGCGCTACGGCGCGCTCCAGGCGCGCAGGGGAGGGTGACGGCAGCCCCCCCATTGCTGCCCCCGCGCCCGCACGTCTGGGCGCGCCAGGCCCTGGCAGCATTGGTGCCAGCCCTTCGCTCTCTCTCTCTCTCTCTCTCTCTCTGAGTCTCTCTCTCTCTCTGTCTCTTTGTCTCAGTCTCTCTCTCTCTCTCTCTCTCTCTCTCTCTCCCCCTCTCTCTATTCCCCTTGCCATGTATACACTTCCGTTAAGACACATGGAGTGTCTGGGTTGCGTGTCTTCGCGAGTTTGCCGGACCTGCAGCCGCGGTTCGTCGAATGCGTTCGTTTGGACGTGCTGCTTATGCTGACCAAGAGCCGTTCCGATCCTACCGCGCTGTGTCTGTGGCCTTCCCCCCTTTACGTTGTAATTAATGTTGGTAGACATCGCAAATGTTCCGATCATAGGGCCCGTCGTCACGGTCCCGAGTCCTGAGACTGGTTACGAGACATTCACAATTGCGATTCTGCACACTGGAGTTGCGTGTGCGTACATCGTGAGCCGATGTGTCTCTGGGATTGCAAGTTCAACCTCTTGGCTACAATTAGATTGTTGTGTAGAGTTTGAGCTGCGCATTCGCAGATGCTTCGATGTGTTGGCTGCTCTACTTGATCGGGGCGAACGAGAGGGCAGGATAGGGAAAGGGGGGCTACGAAATCTGCTGCTTGAGCTGGTGTCCGCCCCGCCGCCGGGCCGATTCCGCGGTGGGCACCTCCAGGCGCCGAGAGGCGCCAGGAAAACCCGCTGCGTGAGCTGATTCTCTGCCCTGCCCTTTGCTGTGCTAGCCTTTCCGTCCCCCACGACTTCTTACCAGGCAGGCAGCACTGCTGCGGAACGCTCCAGACTTTACACGAGTTTCGTCGATGGCGTTGCCTCTCGGGCGTGCCCGCCAGAGACTTCACGCTCAGACGCGCCTCCTCGCGCGCGGCCGCCACTGGAGACGGCGGCCCGCTGACGCAGCAGCTGAGGTTCCTGCACAGCCTGGAGACCTTCAAGAGCACCTGCATGATGCCGTGCACCGCCGAGGAGCCCCAGGGGCGGGAGCGGGCCGAGGACACGGCTCGGGCGCAGAAGGCGCCGCTGCTGGCACAAGCGGCGGATGAGCGTGCCCACGCCCACACCTCCCGACGTCTCGACTCGGTTCCACGACGCTGGCCTCAGAGCTGGTGAACCCCGCCGCTCCCTCGGGGCCAAGTCTTCGTCGCGAGCTCGCGGCTGCCACGCCCGTGCTGCCCCTGGGGCTCAGACACGCGGCCCCCCCAGGGGCGCCGGGGCCTCCTCAGAGAACGAGTCCTTGGAGCCGTTTTGCTGGGGCCCCCGTGGCTTTTGGAAGCCTCTTGGGCCCCGAAGGTTTAAGCTCACGCCGATACCCTAGGCCTCCTAGATGTGGTCGGAGTGGATGGGGTCGGAGGATTGCGCCGCATCGCCGACGCATCGCCGATGCGGTTCGACGTGCAGCCCGACTTGCTTCGCGTCGACGTCGCCGATGCGTCGCCGACGTCGACGATGCATTGCCGCTGCACCGCCGATGCACCGCCGATGCATCGCTGATGCATCGCTGATGCATCCGCGATGCGGGGTGATCCTCCGACTCCATCTACCGGCGGCGAGCGAGGGGGGGAAGTGAGAAGGGGCGGGCCTTCTCAGAAGTCTTGGAAGTCCCCCGGCCTTCTGAGCAGTTTTCTAAGCCTTCCCCAGGGACAGAAAAGAACCTCTCCGAAGGCGCGAGGGCCTCTGAGGAGTCCCGCCGCCTCCTGAGAAGGCCTTCCCCTTCTCGCCCCCCCCCCCCTCGCTCGCCGCCGCCGCATCTGGGAGGAGCAGGAGGCCCCGGAGGCGCCGCCGACTCTCGCGGGGGGCAGCGGCCGGGGCGGCCCCCTGCCGCCCCCCGGGGGGCGGGGGCGGGCCCCGAGCCGGGTGCCGCTGCGCCGCCCCGGTTGGCGCTCCGGGTCCCGAGCCATCTCCTGGGTATGGTTCGGCCAATCCCCATCCCCATCCCCATCCCCATCCCCTTCGAGACCCCCACCAGATTGCAGTCAACCCGCAGAATAAGGATGGGCAGCCTTGACAAGGGTACCCTTGGATCCTTGCCTCCTCGGTCCATCCTTCGCCACGTTCGTTGGCCGCGCCCCGCTCGGAAGGCTTCGAAATGGGCGTCCAAGGCCCTTGCATCCTTATCGCGCATCCTTACTCTACGGGTTGACTGTACCCCCCAGTTGGGGATATACACCCCTCGAAACCCGAAGGGAACGACCCATGGATATCCCCATGCATAGGGGGGGTACGAATGGGCCAGTGGGGCCCAGGCCGCGCTGCTGGGGATGGGGATCGGCGAAGCGATACTCCTCTCCGGGCTTCCCGCCGCGCGGAGCGGAGCGGCACGTTGTGCGTAAGTCGGGCAGGCCCCTCTGCAGGAGGAGGATGCAAGAAGAGTAGAAAATAGTCCAGCGGATTGCAAAAAAACGAAGGATTGCAAAAAGGATTGCAAAAAAAACCTGCATTTTTGCAATCCTTCGTAAAAGGGTTGTTTTTGCAATCCCTCGGTTTTTTTGCGATGCTCCGTGCTCTTTGAATTTGTTCTGATTGTTGAAGAAGTGTGGGCACACGTTTCTTCCGCAGCCCGCCCGTCGGGAGACGTCCCCGACCTGGCGCTGTCCGCTCGCAAGGCATGGCGTGCCGCCGGGGCGGCCGCCGCCGCGACACGCTCAAAAGCTCCTGGCCCTCAAGCAGGATTCGCGGCCGCCTGACCTTCGTCCCCCTTCTCCCTGCCATCCGCCGGCCGCTCGCCCACGCCTTCGGAGGTGGAGGAGCTCCAAGTCATCAGCGGGTACCCGTCGCGGCCCGGGTGCTACTTCCGCCAGCCCTCCAAGTGCCCCGCGAGGCCGATGAAGACATCAATGTGGAGGCACGACACCTGGGCCGAGGAGCGCGGGGTCGACGAGGCGGCTTGCAGGGACCGGAAGGCCCAGGGTCCAGAAATGGGCCAGAGCCGCGCATCGGGAGGGAGAGGAGTGGTTGAGGGGGAGAGGGAGGAGGGGAGGGAAGGGTGAGGATGCAGACGAGGAGGTCGTGGGGGAGCCGGAGGAGGAGGAGGAGGACACTGGCGAGGGCATGTAGTTGCTGCTGACGATGAGGAGGAGAGGGATCATGATGATGACGATGGTGATGCCGACGATGGTGATGATGATGGAATTGTGGTGATGGTGATGGTGATGGTGATGATGTTTACGATCGTGTGTATGATGTTGACCACAGTGATTGAATTGTAATGGTAGTCATGCTGTTGCCCGTGATTGTGACGATGTTGACGTCATCGGCGGTGCCGACGAGCATGACGATGTTGAGGATGATGATGATGCTGATGATGATGTTGAGGATGATGATGATGATGTTGTTGATGATGATGATGATGGAGGTGATGATGATTTTGATGATGATGATGCTAATGAGGATTATGATGATGAACATTTTCAAAAGTATTGTGATGATACTGGTGACGACATTGGAGATGATGAAAACGATGGCGACGATGCTGTTGATGATGATGGTGGTGGTGATGATGCTGATGCGGATTATGAATATGGTCGTGGTCATGGTCATGATGGTAGTGGGTTGAGCTCAGGTGAGGGTGATGGTGGTGATGATAATAATGAGGATTGTGATTATGATGACGATGATGCTTATGATGACGATGATGATGGGGATGATGCTGGTGATGGTGATGTTGATGATGATGATGATGAGTATGATGATGATGATGGTGATGATGATGATGATGATGATGATGGTATTGCTGATGGTGATGATGATGCTGATGCCAGTCACGGTGATGATGCTGGTGATGATGATAATGATGGTGATAATGATATTGATGAGGATGAGGCTGGTTATTATGATGATGATGATGATGATGATGATGATGATGATGATGATGATGATGATGATGATGATGATGCTGATGGCGATGATGGTGATGATGATGCTGATGCTGATATGATTGTGATGGTGGAGGAGGACGACGACGAGGAGGACGATGAGGATGAGTAGGGGAAGACTTGGGGAATGAGGACGAGGAGGAGAGTTATAGGTGGGGGGGAGGAGAGGGAGGCCCTGGAACGCCTGACTTGTCGCCTCCCCGCCAAGGGCTACTGGGATAGATACTGTGAGGCCGAGGACACCAAGGTGGTGCACATCAGCAGCGAGGACGGCGACGAGCTGGGCCTCGGGGGGCCCAGCCCTCCTCCTCTTCCTCCTCCTCTTCCTCCTCTCCTCCTCCACCTCCTCCTCCTCCACTCCTCCCTCCTCCTCCTACCACCTCGCCACCTCCCCTCCTCTCCTCCTCCTCCTCTCCTCCACCTCCTCTCCTCCTCCTCCTCCTCCTCTCCTCCTCCGCCTCCTCCTCCTCACCTCCTCCTCCTCCTCCCTCCTCTCCTCCTCCCCTTCTTCCCCCTCCTCCCTCTCCTCCTCCTCCTCTCTCCTCCACCTCTCCTCCTCCTCCCCCCCTCCTCCCCCTCCACCTCCTCTCCCTCCTCTCATCCTCCTCCTCCTCCTCCTCCTCCTCCGTCCTTCTCCTCTCCGCCTTCACCTCCTCGCCTCCTCCTCCTCCTCCTCCTCCTCCCTCCTCGCCTCCTCCTCCTCCTCCTCCTCCTCCTCCTCCCTCCTCCGCTCCCCCTCCTCCTCCTCCTCCCCCACCTCCTCCTCGTCCCCTCCTCCTCCTCCTCCTCCTCCCTCCTCCTCCTCCCCCCTCCCCTCCTCCTCCTTCCTCCCCTCCACCCCTCCTTCTCCTCCTTCCTCCTCCTCATCATCATCATCCTCCTCCTTTTCCCCCTCCTCCTCCTCCCCCCCCTCCTCCTCCTCCTCCTCCTCCGACGCCGAGGCGCAGAGGTCTCACAAAACGAGCCCTTTGGTGGGGCCGTTTCGGGGGCCCCGGATGGCCCCTGGAAGCCCCCCCTCTTGGGCCCCGAACCTAGAGATCCAACGCGTTGGAAAATCGTCCCCTGATTAACCTAAGGAAGCAATTAAGGAACCCCCCGGGGTTATCGTTAGCACCGCGCCGTAATTAAATAATTATTCGGGGTGGTTTTAGCCGAGCGTTATCTTTAGCACCGCGCAAAACAAAAATAAATTAAATAATTCCAGCGCCATGGCCCTAAGGATTCCTAAGGATTCCTAAGGATGCCTAAGGAAGGTCTGAGGATTCCTAAGGAAGGTCGGTGTACACCGAAAAGCAGCAGCACCCCTCTCAGACAATCCTGGAAGAGCCCAGGGGGGACCTCTGAAGGAGCCCAGGGAGGGGGGCAAGGATTTCCTGGGATGCCAAGGAAAGAAGGTTGAAGGAGATGCTGAGGAGCCCAAGGCCATTCCATGGAGTCACTGATGCTAAACACTTCCACGGAGTCCTGGTCCCCCCTGGGCTCTAGTAGTAGTAATAGTAATAGTAATAGTAATAGTAATAATAATAGTAATAATGCTAATAATAGTAATAGTACTAGTAATAGTAATAGTAATAGTAATAGTAATAGTGATAGTATTGGTAATAGTACTAGTAATAGTAATAGTAATATAATAGCAATACTAATACTGATAGTAATAGTAATAGTAATAGTAATAGTAATAGTAATAGTAATAGTACTAGTACTAGTAATAGTAATTGTAAGAGTAATAGTAATAGTAATAGAAATAGATATAGTAATAGTAATGGATATAGTAATAGCAGTAGTAATAGTAATAGAAAATTAATAGTAATAGTAATAGTAATAGTAATAGTAATAGTAATAGTAATAGTAATAGTAATAGTAATAGTAATAGTAAACGTAGTAGTAATACTGATAGTAATAGTAATAGTAATAGTAATAGTAATAGAACTAGTAATAGTACTAGAAATAGAAATAGAAATAGTAATAGTAATAGTAATAGTAATAGTAATAGTAATAGTCATAGTATAGTGATAGTAATAGTAATAGATAGTAATAGTAATAGTAATAGTAATAGTTATAGTAGCAGTAATAGTAATAGTAATAGTAATAATAATAGTAACAGTAATAGTAATAGTAATAGTAGTAAGAATGGTAATAGTAATAGTAATAGTATTAGTAATAGTAATAGTAATAGTAATATATATATATATATAGATATAGTAATAGTAATAGTAATAGTAGTAGTAATAGAAATGGTAATAGTAATAGTAATAGATATATTAATAGTAATAGCTCGTACCCAGCGACTGCAGGTTCACACGCTCTCCTTACCGTCCACTACAAGTCTCCTTTTTCTGATTCTCCTCATCGTCCCTCTCCTAACAAATTCTTATTGATATTCGTATTGAAACATTAATTATTTTCGGCCATCCTGTGGGGTGGTCCATCCCAGGATAACGCGCCACCCCGCACCGCGGCGTTATCTTAGCACCGGTCACGCACGGAAAATAATTCCCCGCCCCCCGACCCCCTGTCAAGAGTGAGGGCAAGAGTACTAGGGAGGAGAATAATCATATACAAATTATAACCAAGCGGGAGGAACAGGCAAGACAGAAGTACGACTGAACACGCGTCAATATGAATACGAATCTACAGAGTAATTCAATAACTGATCTCACACGACCGCCCAAGGAATCGAGAAGCTCAGGGGCCCCACTGCTGCCTTTCGGGAACCTCGAAAGCTGCGGACGCGAGAAGCCTGAGAATCCGTCTGCTACGAACGCAGACGAGTCTGCGTGCCGACGCAAGCAAACCGCCTGAAACACTCTCGCAATCTGGCTTCCGTGTGGTTCGGAAACAAACGCTTCGCCTGAGACATCCTCAAGAACTGCTCTGACACATCCTATGGGAAATCTTGTGGGTGAGTTCTATGGGGGGGTCCTATGAGGGAGTTCTATGGAGGAGTCCTATGGGGGAATCCCACGGGGGAGTCCTATGGGGGGGGGGTCCGATGGGGAAGGCCTATGGGGAAGTCCTAGGGGAGAGGTCCTATGGGGGAGTCCTGGGGGGGAGTCTTCTGAGTGAGTCCTATGGGGGCGTCCTACGGGGGGGGCCCCCCGCGGCGATGAAGCACACGCGTCGCTTGAGACATCCTCGCAATGTGGGCCCGCACTTCCCTCCCTCCCTCCCTCTCTCCGATCTTCTCAAAGACTGCGAGGTGCCAGGATAACGCCTCCAGGGTGCTGGATGCGTTATACTTTCGCCGAGAGGGGGGGGGGGGGGGGGGGGGGGGGGGGGTTTCTTAATTGCTTCCTGCGGTTATTTCTGGACTATTTTTGAATATTCCTCCTGCAGAGGGACGTGCCCGACTTACGAGCAGGAGGGGGGGAGGGGCGCAAGGACGACTAGGAGCTCGACGTCACCCGGATGTGGGGCGCGCCGCCTGGGGCCGAGGCCCCGCGGCGGGCGGAGGTTTTCTGTGTTTTTCGGCCTCGAGGGGCCCTCGCCGGGCCCTGGGGCCGTCAAGAAACGAAGCAGGGTGAAAAACCGGTCCTGAGGAATGGGTCGAGACTTCTGGGGACCCCGCATTGAAAAAGGCACGACGTCGGATCTCTGGGAAGGTGTTCGTGGCGCTCGGGAGTTGTGGCTTGGCGCGCAGCTCAGCGCGTCGCGCCGCCGGTTCTGGCCCACCACGCCCCGGCGCGGGCTGTCGACGCTCCTCGGCCCCGAGGCAGCACTACACCCGAGCCTCTCCCAGCCCCCCGCCTCCCGCGGAGCGGAAAGCGACACGCAGAGGCTGTGGGCGCCGCGAGCTCACGTCGATGCTCGCCCCTCCCGGAGGATTTTGTCGAGGAGGCTGCGGAGGCGCCGCCGGCCCTCGCTGCGGAGGCAGCGGCCCGGACGGCGGCTGCCGCAGCACCAGGGGCGGCGGGCACCGCCGGTGCCGCTGCGCCGCCGGGTGCCGAGGCGCGTCCCCGCACACCATAGTGGCTGCGGAAGCTGGAGTGCCGGGGGGCTCCCCAGAAGGAAAAGGTGCGGATCTCGGATGATACAGTGGGGGCACGCCCTGCTCGCCTCCAGGGTGCCCTGGGTTTCTTGGGGCTCCGAGGGTTCTGCGATGGGAAGCGGGACGCCCCCACGCCAAAGATCGATGGACGCCCAGGGGTCTCAGGGTTGGGTTTCTTGTGGGAGGTTTCTCGTGGTTGGGCCAGTCGGGCCCCTACTATATGTTTCCGCAAACAGTGCATGCACGCAGGGTTCCGGAGGGAAAAAACACACAGACAATTAATCGTCGATCCCCCAGAAATTTGGGAATATGTGGGAAGTGGGGGGGAGACAAAACCCCAGAAAATATGGGAAACCATGGGGATCCCTGAATTGGCACGGTGTGCTAGCCTGGCGGCTCTGAAGCGGCCGTCGCCGCCTCGTCGCCGCCCGTCGTCTGGGCCCGTCGTCTGGGCCTGTCTGCCAGTCTGACAGCAATGTTTTCGCCGTCGCCGCCCCGTCGCCGCTTAGATATAGCACTACATAGGTTGCATCGCAGAGGTCCTCCTTTCAAAAGAGAATTCGGAGTTACACTCCCCCCCCCAGGATTGTCCGTTCGTTTTTTCCGCAATGTACATATGATCCCGCCTCCTCGTTCAATTATACATGTGCAATCACACCGTTCCACCCAAATTCTTTACGCTTCGCGTATCCCCACCAGCCCATCTCAAAACAGCAACTCTTGCGAAGCATACCGACAGTCGTGTTTTTCAGGCGTGTTTCCGCCTGCCCCCGCATATCTCCGGGCCTCTCGTCCTGGTGTGAGTCGTTCGGGCCCTTCTTCCTGGTGTGAGTCGTTCGGGCTCTTCGTCGTGGTTTGAGTCGTTCGGGCTCATCGTCCTGGCGTGAGTCGTTCGGGCTTCTCGTGGTGTGAGTTGTTCGGGCCCTTCGTCCTGGTGTGAGTCGTTCGGGCTCCTCCTCCTGGTGTGAGTCGTTCGGGCTCCTCGTGGTGTGAGTCGTTCGGGGCCCGCGTCGTGGTGTGAGTCGTTCGGGCTCCTCGTGGTGTGAGTCGTTCGGGCGCCTCGTCCTGGTGTGAGTCGTTCGGGCCCCTCCTTGTGGTGTGAGTCGTTCGGGCTCTTCGTGGTGTGAGTCGTTCGGGCCCCTCGTCCTGGTGTGAGTCGTTCGGGCTCCTCGTGGGGCCTCTTGGGGGCCTCTTGGAGCCTCTTGGGGCCTCTTGGGGGCCTCTGGGGGCCTCTTGGGGGCCTCTTGGGGGCCTCTTGGGGCCTCTTGGGGCCTCTTGGGGGCCTCTTGGGGGCGTCTTGGGGGCCTCTTGGGGCCGCTTGGGGGCCTCTGGGGGGTCTCTTGGAGGCCTCTTAGGAGCTTCCTGGGGGCCTCTTGGGGCCATCTTGGGGCCTCTTGCGACCTCCTCAGAAGCGCAAAGAAGAGCTTCCCCCTGAGAAAGATACAATGAAGCCAAAACCTTTTGTAAAATCAATGATTTTGCTAGGAAGGACGATGAGCGCTGCCCCCTCAGAAGTCCAAAATGGAGCCAAAACCCTAGTAAAATCAATATGTTTGACTTCACAGAAGAGGAGAGGGACTTATCTCCGTCCCCCCGTCGGGGCCAGAATCCTCGTGAGGGTCGTCGTTTTTTGGCCCTCCCAGGAGTCCGAGAAGACCCCTCCAACGACCCGCGGGACCCCCTCTCCAGGTCCAGGGGGAGGGGGTAGGGGGAGGGGTAACCCCCTCCCCGAAGGGGAAGAAGGGGGTTGGGGGATTGAGAACAGAGAAAGCTCGCTAAACCACTCACGCCCAAAGGGCTGGTGTCCCACCAGCCCTTTGGGCGTGAGTGGTTTAGAAAGCCCTCTCTGTCCTCAACCCCCCTTCTTCCCCTCCGGGGAGGGGTTTACCCCTCCCCCTACCCCCTCCCCCTGGGCCTGGAGAGGGCGGGCCGCGGGTGGTTGGAGGGGTCTTTTTCGACTCCTGCGAGGGCTAAACAACGACGACCCTCACGAGGATTCTGGCCCCGACGGGGGGACGCTAAAAAAACCCTTTCCTCTTCTGTGAAGCCAAAATCCTTGCTTTTACGATGGTTTTGGCCCCATTTTGGCCTCCCGAGGGGGCCGCGCTCATCTTCCTTCATAGCAAAATCATTGGTTTTACTAAGGTTTTGGGCTCATTTTGTCCTTCTCAGGGGGCAGCGCTTCTTTGCGCTTCTGAGGAGGTCGCAAGAGGCCCCAAGATGGCCCCAAGAGGCCCCCAGGAGCCCCCCAAGAGGCCCCCAAGAGGCCCCCAAGAGGCCCCCAAGAGGCCCCAAGAGGCCCCCAAGAGGCCCCCAAGAGGCCCCCAAGAGGCCCCCAGAGGCCCCAAGAGGCCCCCAGAGGCCCCCAAGAGGCCCCCAAGAGGCCCCCAAGAGGCCCCAAGAGGCTCCAAGAGGTCCCCAAGAGGCCCCACGAGGAGCCCGAACGACTCACACCAGGACGAGGGGCCCGAACGACTCACACCACGAAGAGCCCGAACGACTCACACCACAAGGAGGGGCCCGAACGACTCACACCAGGCCGAGGCGCCCGAACGACTCACACCACGAGGAGCCCGAACGACTCACACCACGACGCGGGCCCCGAACGACTCACACCACGACGCGCGCCTCTTGGGGGCCTCTTGGCGCCTCTTGGGGCCTCTTGGGGGCCTCTTGGGGGCCTCTTGGGGGCCTCTTGGGGCCTCTTGGGGACTCTTGGGGGCCTCTTGGAGGCCTCTTGGGAGCCTCCTGGGGGCCTCTTGGGGCCATATTGGGGCCTCTTGCGACCTCCTCAGAAGCGCAAA